CTATCTATCTATCTATCTATCTATCTATCTATCTATCCATCCATCCATCCATCCATCCATCCATCCATCCATCCATCCATCCATCCATCCATAGCAGGCATGACTGTGATGAAAGACCTGCCCCTTTTTACATGTGTTGATGTCACATGAACATACAAAGGATGGGGTCACAATTGCCTTCTTGACTTTTTGTACACTCTCTGCAACTCCCTCCTCCAAAGATGCCCCTACCCCAGAACATATTTTGTTGAGTCAGAACATGGAATACTTAGTTGACACATACAATATCTCCTTATACAACACATTTTTTTCAGACTTTAACAGAACTATCTTATAGTGGTATTACTAATCAGAATGTTTGCTTCAGCTGAGTTATTTGGAAGCTGTTATGACTGAATAATTGAATTAGCAAGTATTTCAACATTAGGAATGTGAACAAAAAAGAGTTCTGAAAAAAGCTTGGGAAAAAAACAAAATTTCACTCAGAATATTGAGTGAACATGCTGAAATGTTTTCCACCACAGAATGTTTTACACTCAACTGACTTGAGTGTACACTATTCCATCAAAACATTTCAAGTATTACAGACATAAGAAATGATGTTAATAGACCAACTGTTGCTGAATATGTGGAGTGATACTCCATGTTGAATGCTACCTATCACCCATATTGCAGAAAAAATTAGCCAGAGGCATAATTTTCAACACATTCTTGAAATCCACATAAGAAAAATGGGAACACAGTTCTGCTGTTGCTAACTGAAAAATCTGTTTGCATTAACATCTATTATTAAAAAATCTGCCACCAGATTTTTTGCTCTGAAATAGCAGATAATTTCTCAGATTCTTTAAATAATTCCTACAGAACTTGAATATATTACATAACAGACATTCTTTTCAATTAATACCTCTTCTCTCTGAAATTTTTAAAAATCTGTGTATATGTATTTTAAGGCTAATGGATCTGGGCTACAAAAACTTGAAAAATAGTAGATGACAGCAGAGTTTTCTGTATCTCTTTTCCACCATTTAGCAGTCATTTGGATGCCTGCATCCCAGATCTGGTAGCCCTAGTATGTGTGTTATGTGTCTATGTGTGTGTGCAACCTGCCCATCAGATACAAGCTCTATAAAAGCAACCATATTCTTTTCTTCTTAAGTTTTCGCTTGTATAGAGAGGTGGCAGTAAACAACAACCACAACCTGTGATGGCTTCTTAACTGCATGAATAACACATTACAATAAAACATGAGAGCATGCATAGGATACACATGTCAATAAACTAATGTTGTACTAGTGGTCTTTCTATAACCTCTGAAACATTAGTAAAATTTGTATATAGTGCAAATTCATGGAATTCCCAATTCACCCATATGATCTGTTCTTTCCTGCTGTGCTGACTAGGACAGGGAGACTTCCAGGGGATGTGGAGGATGAAACAGCCAGAGTTTACGTGAGCTTTTGAGTCTTAAGTTTTATTAAACTTACCCCCTTTTGGAGCATAATCGCTAAAGCAAATTATTCATGAAACTTTATCTCAGGTTGCTCAGAGAGAGGACAGTGTAAAAGAAATAGAAAGCTTTGTAAATTATCTGAAACCCTGGAAATAAACTTAAGGTGCTCTATTGGCATCCTGGAGGTTATACTAAAATGTGTGGGCTCTAACACTCCATCTGAAGATTACAACTGAACATAAAGAAATTGGAAGGTTGTGAAGTTTGCTATCTAAACTAGACAGTGTCGGAGGAATACTGTAAAGAGAGAGTTTGCAATTTCAAACTATGCTCTTAAAGTAATAGCCCCCTCTTTGTAGAGCTTCTGCAAGCACTTAATGAAAGCGGTTTACAAACTGAGCTGATAAAGGAAAGGCTCAGGTACTAAAACAATGGTCTTCACTAGAGAGGGTTATATACAAAATGGGTTATGTCCAGTAACTGAAGATGTGGATGTGTACATTAAATCTCAAAAACAATCAAGAATTACTGACTTTTTCTCCAGGGGTGTAACCCCAATAAACTCTGATGACCAGGGCAGTGACATGAAAGAAAATGGAAAGGAAAACAACATGCCACGTGAATGGTCTTTTGGTCCTTATCACTCTTGGACAGATACCACAAACATTATAGATAAGAGGACCTCCAATATTCTAAATATCGCTGAGGAAATAGCTATTGCTGAGCGACAGCTAAACTCTGAGACTACAGAAAAACACATGGACAATAGCACACAACCATCTTTAATAAGGACTCAGTCTGTAACAACAAAGCCCCTTACCAAGGCAACTTCAACACCTTTCAATCACATGGTTTAGGAACCCTTATTGGTAAATGAAGCAAATTATTTGAGAGGTTCACAGGATTCCTATTTGCAAAAGATTACAGAAACCTTGGGAGAACAACATGAGGCTTTTAACAAATTTGCCGTGAAGTGGTCGTCTGATTTACTACTACTGAAAGAATTTCTATCTGCTTCAAATGATCTATTGACAACTCTTATCAAATTAGTCTCAGATGAGATAGGACCACAGAAAAACACAGTATTTGGTAATTCACTAATGCACAACCATTCCCAAATCCAGACTCATTTTACAAATAAGAAGAGAAAAAAACAAGTAAAGCCCCAGGTGAAAACCAAGAAAAAGAAAAAGAAGGCACAAACATAAAATCAAGTAAGGAAAAGTAAGAACTGGAAGAGTACTGCTATTCCCAAACAGGCTTCTAAACTTAAGTATAATGATTTATTTAAAATTTTGGGAACAGCTGACAAAAGAAACAACAGACCAACCAAAAAGCCACCCGGGAAGAAGATAGAAGTAAATAAAGTACTCAATGAAGCAAGTAAGGACTCTAATAAGATTGAAATTACTAATGCGGGCCTTCTAATCCAGCAATGTCAAATACCTGCTGAGGACTCTATTATTAAGCAAAATCATCCATTCTCTTGAGGACTAAGAAAAAAGTTCCATGTACAGGATGGTATTTGCAACTAATGAATGCTAAGCTGGCATTTATCAACTTCCCAAAACATGGAGTTTCCTCTCACAGATGGAATGAAGATTGCATTTGGTTCATCTACTTCAAACTTTCACCCCACTTAGACTTGTTTCAGATGATATTTCAAAGGTGGAATACCTGTACTACAATGTTGTGACAGCTAGAGCGCTGTTAACCTTTGACTGTTAACATGGCACAAATGGTTTATCAATTTAAATATTTTCTTCAGGCAAGAGGGCTTGGAGTAACTAGATGTTTTAAGAATATGTCTGTAACCCCTCTAGTTAAACCTAATTTATGTAATCCAATAGCAGACAGGACTTTCTTACCTGAAGAAATAGAGCTTATAAATACTTTTAATGATATGCCCCCATGGAACAAAATCGTATCTTAGTTAAATTGTCCTGGTTAAGAGAAGAGTTGATTAATAAACAGGCACAGTCACCATATATAACTA